CTCCTCACACCTATGTGCTAGTCGTTTCTGACTCTAGGGGGCGGTGCTCATCTCCGTTTCAAAGCTGAAGAGCCAGCATTGTCCAAAGACGTCTCCATGGTCATGTGGCTGGCATGACTAAACATCAAAGGCACACGGAACGCTGTTACCTTCCCATTAAAGGTGGTTCCTATTTTATTATTTGCATTTTTACATGCTTTCAAAGTGCTAGGTTGACAGAAGCTGGGACAAGTAATGAGAGCTTACTCAAATTATATGGTGCTAGGGATTTGAAGCACCAAACTGCCGAGCTTTCTGATCAACAAGCTCAGTGTTTTAGCCACTGAGCTACTGTGTCCCTTTGATATATTTGCTACAGATAGACAAATACGTATTTGTTATAAATATATTGATTTTAGGCATCACTAATATGGTAATAATCTACTTCTGTTTTCAAATTCAGCCAGAACAACTTGAAATAAAAAGATTACTTAAATCTGATATAATTATAAGGCTGAACATGGTAGTTGATTTATGCTTCAGGAAGAGAGATCTGCAACAAATAGATTTTTTTATTTATTAAATTTAAATATCTCACTAATAAGGCGACTCTTCACCTTATAAGACTCTGCCTCCAACTCATTTGCATCTCGATATCTTTAAATTAAGTCAATTTTAATATTACTATTTACTTTAATGTTTTATCTCATTGCTTTCACTTTGATGTAGGCCACCTAGAATCACCTCAAGGAGAAAGAGGTGGCATATAAATAAAATAAAAACGAGCAAAAAAAAGTACACATTCATAAAACTCATACATTTGAATTTATCGTGAAGATGAAGTAAAGATGTACTTAGGTAAGAGTACAGGTAGTCCTTGCGCACCAACTGCTTCTTCAGAGACCTTTCAAAGTTACAAACAGTACTAACAAATAAGACATAGGACTATTTTTAAAATCAACTATCTTAATGGTTGTCACAGCAACCGATCACGATTCAGATGGTTGGTAATTGGCAGGCAATTACAACTGTCGCAGCATCCTATGGTCACATGATCACCATTTACCACCTTCTCAGTCAGTTTCTGATAAGTGAAGTGTCATGTTCTGAGCATGCGTTGAAAGAAAGAGTTTAAG